ATCTTAGGATGTCGCGCCCAACGATGTGTGGTTGTGGAGGTTATCCAATAGGTTCAGTGGGAGGTGTATCCCCTCGCTATCATCATTTCTGGGCCTGTCCGGTGGCACAGGCAATAGCAGATCAACTTACTCTTTCAATAGGATTGCCAGTCTCAAGGGAGCAACTTTGGCTTATCCAAGCCCCACAATCAGTGCAACAATGTGTTTGGGATGTTGTGGCTCTTGCTGCGGTGTCAGCCATGGAGCATGGGAGACGTTATATGGCTGCAAACATGAAAACCAACCCGGCACTGTTACCTGGTCCTTCCCTTACGGAAGAAGCAATTTGTCGAGTTATTGTTGATTTTTGGGGCCGCATTCAGGGTTTCGCAGCTTTAGGAATTCCACGAAAAGGTTGGGAATCCGTTGGCGCACATCACCCCTTTTTGAGGATTATATCTGGCAAATTGATTTGTTCGCGAGAGCGGTTACCGATGAGAGGTTAATTATCTGAGATGATAATCTTTTGGTATATTAGTCTCTACTGCAGTGCACGGCCAGCTGGCCCGATGGCTCTACTCTTCGGGAGTCTGGAGCCCACTGTAACAACCACACACACACTAATCCACCGCTTTCAGCTAATAGACGCGCCTGGGCTTAAAGGCTGCTGAACTGCAAATCCCTGGCCATATTTCAAGGTGCCACGCACATGCTATAATTTCCTATCTCCCGCCTCACCATCCAAATTATTGGCCCTGTTTCAGAAGTAGGTTGCGCTGCACCCCGAGAACCAACTCGCAACGGCATCAGATCGCGCGCCAACGCCGACAACGCGTTCCGACCCAAATCAAATTCACAATCTTCGCCGATGCCACGACCCAGATCAGCAAGCGCTTAAAAAACATGTCAGTTTTCTGTCCAGCGCAGAAAACCGCTATTCCGCGGGCGAAGCGCGAGATGCATTAGAGCACATGGTCGCACATAAGCATACTGTACTTTGCCAGAAACCGCCTAACGGCCCCTTTGGCAAGGCCGAAACGCATCATAGTGACGCGCCTTCCCCTTTGCGCTAATACCCATGAATTACTTTGCACCTTTTGCACTTTACCTGCCCTTAGCCTGCGTTGCTCCTCTGTTATCTTACTCAGGTACTTACACAAGGTCGCTTATTGCTCAGTCCTGCCGTGTTGCGTTACAGTAGCTAGGCCGCCAACCGCATGCGCAACTCGGTGTGAAAGTTGCACTAGTGGCCGATAGTAATGGCAGTTACCTGTGTTGCACCGTTAATCCTACAACCTCAAGCGCCACGACAAGAGCCTCACGAGGCGACCCACCCGAGGCCAGCAGAGACAAAATCAGGGACCGCTGCATTGCGGCAACCCCCGGGATTGCCCGGGGTGGGTGGGGGTACGCCGAGGCACAGACAATTGACGAGAGAACGCACATATACGGGTACTCCAAGATTAGACCCATAATAAAGGACAATTCGTAAGATACCGACCCGTGGGGGGTGGTTGGGTGGGGGGGAAACTCGAGGACACTGTCCCAGCAGCGGGACACACCTCCTGGTAGTAATAGTCAAAACAACGGAAGTTTAAAAACCAATGCTCCTGTGCGATCCAAGTAGAAGCTTGGCGTCCCCTGCCGTACTGTGGTCCGGCACATGCATGCATGCGCCCTACTTCCACGCACCACGGCAGCTCCTTCAGAATGACTACTTGCCTATCTCTACACTCATACTTCGCTTCGAGAAGTCGAAGCTTATCTGCGATGCATCTGCATTAGAATAAGAAGGAGATGTTTTACCTGATAGCCGTGACTTAAGCGCACTTACACAACGCACTTCCGCACATTTGTTATCTCAAATGGTGACTTAAATGTATTCTTTTTTCCGTGCACTTCCCGCTCCACCCCGGCGCGGCTTCGGACTCACCAGCACCATTCCAACAGCAGCAGTAGCGCGTTCCACAAAATGGTGGTCGGATCGGGGGAGCTCGTTCCATCACTCCATCATCACGTGCCCAATGAGGGCAGATCCACTATAGCCACTTGACTCCCCCCACCAGCAAAACACGGATAGACATACGCACACAAATCCGCCTCTGGCCAAAATGTTCACGGCCCTCCTTTTCCCCCTCACTTTATAAATCCCTGATATCACGGATACGGCCCAGGGCCCGACTCACACATTTGCACACGAAAGGATGTACGGCACATCGACACCACGGGGGAAGTGAACGCCGTACGGGACAAAAAAAATAAAATGACGCTTTGAATTGAAGCCATGTACGGTCCCCCTTCTAACCCGCACCAAACCCACACGGCTTTCCTCACGGGAAGGTTTCTTCGTTCCTCCTACCAGCAACAGCAGTAGGAGCAGTAGCAGTTGCAGCTAACCCTTTCTTCCGAGACGGCTGGACGAAAAAAAGCAACGAAGGCAGCATCTATCCTGTGGCGCATATATACATACGTACAAACATGCATACATACATGCATATGTATGCGCAATTTGGAGGTAATGGTGGACACCCGGCATACATGCGGGCTACTGGGCGACACGCGGGAAACCTCCACACGCGGACTCGAAATCAATTACGCATTTTTGTGCGATTTTCGAGCAGGCAGCATCCAAATACTCATGCTTTTGCGAAAGAGGACTCAAACTACATCGCTTTTAAATGTGCGAGTGCGAGTGTGAGTGTGTGCGCACGTCGATGTATGAATGTATGTGAATATGTATGATATGCATGATATGTGGAACAGGGCGGTCATATCTTCACCCTTCGGCCGCTACCCGGCGAAACTCTGCCTTCCCCGGTATTTCGGGGCACCCCCATCCAGTCAACCTAGTCAACTTCTCAGTGGATCGCTCAGGTTCCGCACCCACCACCGGCATCCAACGGAATCTGCCGGGGCGACGGCGGCTCAACTCCATTCCCGGTAAGCTCGCAGGTCTACTTCATCCAAGGTCACCACCGTCCATCGACTATGGCACTTTTACCTTCCACCATCAAAAGGATTTTTCGACCCTGACAGGTCTCGATCCCGGAACCTCCGGTTGCATCAGCGTGTGCTTTACCAGTACCAATAGCGCCTGGCCTACGTATGCATGTGATTGCCATGTTGTCAAACCTAATCGCTGCAATGACCCTCCCCTACCAGGCATTTGCAGCAGGCGTCCCCTGCCCACATGACACCATCACCACCACCGCCACCACCATCACCACCACCACTGGAACCTCTCTTCTCCCCCACTAATCCCAAACCACATCCCCACGGATGGGCCCCATTCCTGCCAACCGCCCACCTGGCACCGTTCCACCTCCTCCTACTACTACTCCTCTTGCTCCTACTCCTACTCCCCTGCAACATCAACACCACGGCCAAAGACAACCACAAACCAAACAACAACAAAGATAACACAAACCAAAGCACCACCAACAGCAAGAGAATACTGCGACTTGGAATAAACATGGCCTTCCGTTAACTAACCTGTGGCTCTCATGAGGCTCTTGGGCCTTGCGTTACACCTCTCCGGGTAACGCAGCCGAGGTACATATACCGCACACATAACTACCAGTCACCAAAATCACAACCAACAAAACGATGTCGTCGTCTTGGCCGCTGCCGCCGCTCCGGGCATGTCGTCGTGCCGTGACGCGCCAAAGGGAGGATAAGATGAAAGCCCATTACTTCCTATTTTCCTACCTGCCCACCTACCCACCTACTTATTTGCCTAACCTAGCTAGCTAAGCTTCCTGGGCGAGGGCAGCGGCGAGGGGGCAGCAGCCGGGCACCGCCGCCGCCGCCACCGCCGCCGCCGCCGCCGCTACTGCCAGCCCCGCCGCAGCAATCGTCCGCGGTAACTGCTGCTGCTACAGCTGGTAGTCCTGATGATTACGATTCGGATGGCGGCGATGTGGTTGCCGGCGTTGATAACTATTTTGACTCCAGTCAAGGCTGCGGCGCTGCTGGTGTTGCTGGTCATCATCACAATCACTGTCGTGTTGGTGGTTGTGGTGGTTGCAGCAATTGCAACCCGGTTGGTGACTCACTGGCTGGGCTGCTCAACCCCCTTAACCCCATGACGATTCCCCCCAAAACCCCCGCCTTCTCCTCCTCCTCCTCCTCCTCCTCCTCCACCTCCAACCCCCACTTCCCGGTGGTTGGTCCGGAGCTGGTCGGCTTCCTCAGTCGCGCTCGAGTGCAGCTGCGCGCCGCCGCGGCCGCGGTCCTGGCCACCGTTATCCCGGTTACAGAGGACCTGGTGGTGGTGGTGGTGGTGTCGGAGGTGGTGGTGGTGACCTTGGTGACGGCCCAGCGCCCTCCACAATCCCGCATGCAGCACAGCATTGGCCGCGGCTGTGAGTACGGCAAGCGTCCCCGCTCTGATCGCCAGGCGGGGGGTGCTCCAGGGGAGGCCCAGCGCCCGCCACAGCGCCACGTGGGTTGGGATGCGCAACAGGGACAGCAAGGCGGCGGTGCGGGGCATCACCTACATCACACGTGTCGTGTACGACACACGGCAGGAGTACGGATACATGGGGTTGAGAGTGGAGAGTTGGGGGATTGGGCGGGGTGGGTGGGTGGGTGGGAGGAAGAGAGCAGGGAGAAACACCCTAACTCACCAAAACGGACGAACCCAACAGCAGAGCATCGCCAATCCAGACCGCCTTCGAGGCATGGTACGACCGCATATCCGCAGGTACGGCGAACCCGCAGAAGCCCACCAGCACGTTAGCCAAGATATAGCCTGATTAGGACGCGGTGGAGGTGGAGCAGGGGGATGCGGGGGATGCGGGGTATGTGTGTGCCAAGTCAAGAGGGCGGAAAACGGCCCTCCAGTGCTCACTCACTCAACCACCCACTCGCTGTGTTAAAGAAAAAAGCTACGGCCAATATGTAAAATGAATATGAAGCATTGGCCGAAAAACACCTACCCCTCCCTTCCCAGCCCCTTTCCTCCCTCCCTCCCGCACCCACCCACTCACTCACTCATGCACTCACCCGCCACCTTCGGCAGCTGCAGCGCCTGGCCCACACGCCCCCGCAGGGGTCCGGATACCAGCCAGTACGCGGCCAGGTGCGCTATGTGGGCGGCCACCATCACCAGCGAGGCCATGTGATGGACCAGGAAGGCAACGGCAGGGACCCGGTGGTGGCGCCTGTGGTCCGGGTTGAGCCACGGGTGCGGCTCCCGCTGCCAGGACCGCAGCAAGAGGCCCGCCACACACGCCAGGACGAGCAGATCGCTACGGAGCGGGGGGAGGGGACGAGGGGTGCCGTGGTGGGTGCAGGGGGTGCAGGGGGTGCAGGGCGATGTGAGTGGGGTCGTATTTCGATAAAACTGATTAAAAGGACTCTTAACTGCCGACACGTTCACCACCGCCACTTGACTGGGGGGGAAAGGAGGGGAAATGCCGCAACAGCAGCCACTTGCGGCGAAAGAAGGTACTGGAAACAGCATGAAAAACCTCACCTACATACATGCATACATACATACATACATATACATCTCAGAATCTACATGTTAAACGCGCAGCCAATGCTAATTTGGATTTGGACAGCTCACGTGAATTGCATCTGGGAGTGGATACACTCCCGCAGGTACGACTGGTACAGCGGCTCGTCCAGCTCCTTGAAGAGGCTGCGGACCGCGGTCACCCAAGCATGAAATTGATTAACGCGCGACCCTCTAGACATCCCACGGATCCCACGCCGCCCAGCGCTGCCGCCGCCACCGCCGCCGTCACCATCATCGCGTCCACGGCTGCCGCTGCAGTAGCTGCGGGCCTCGCCGCCGCCGCCGCTGCCGCTGCCGCCGCTGCCGCTGCCGCCGTCGTCGTCGCCGGCAGCGGAGGCATCATCACCCGTGTCCGTACTGAGTCCATCCGCCTTGTAATTGCCGGTCTGAGGGCTATTGCCAGCCTCCCTGCTGCAGTACAGACATCCAGATGTGCCGTCAGGGCCGCCGCCGCAGGACGGGCGCCAGACGCGATCCCCTGTTGCTGCTGCTGCTGCTGCTACGGCCGATGCGCTGGCGGTGGGAGCGGTGGCCGCCGCCGCCGCCGCCGCCGCCGCCGTCGACGTCGTAAGCATCCCCGCCGCTGGTGCCGCACAACTCAGCGCTGCCAGCTCCCTGTGCAACCTGGCGATCATACAGGGCCAACGTTGACAACCACCCGACGATACAAACCACTGCACCAGGTGGGCGCCAAGGTCCAGAAGCACGAGTGGGCTGCTGCGGGTCAGCGAGGGGAACCCAGGGGCGGATCCGTCGTCGCCGCCACCGCCACTGGCCGCCACCACGTCAGCAGCGGCGGCGGCGGTGGCGGCGGCGTTTTGCAAAAAGTAGCCCAGATCCGAAAGGAGCTCCCACACCATCAGCGCGTCGGGGTCGGCGCTGCCGCCACCGCTGCCTCCTAGCTCTGTCGCACCAAACCATTCTAGCAAGCCGCGCTCTAACTCCCCGCACAGGTCCTCGTCGTCCAGCAATAGCAGGGGCGCAAGGCCCTGCACCGGACTCCCGCCGCCGCCACCGTCGTCGCCGCCGCCGTCAAAGCCACCATCCCGCGCCCCGACCAACAGCAGCGCCGGCGCCGGCGGGAGCTCTGATACACGTATGCGGACTGCCGCCAGCCAACCGGCGGCGGCGACGCCCGGGTTGGCATAGGCAGCGGCGTCGCCGCCATCGGCTGCCGCCGCCGCCGCCACCACCGGTCGTTGGCAGATCCAACTAACAGACCCATGGGTCACAGGAAGGTAACGGTCCATACCCCGGACGGAAAGCTCCAGAGGTTGCTTAGCAGGCGACCAGACGAGCGCCGAAAGCTCAAGACCCGCATGCGCCGTGCCTGTCGCAGCGGCGACGGCTGCGGCAACGCTGTACGGCAGCACGTCTGCTGGTCCCCTGGGAACGGATGGGGATGGCGATGAGGGCATGTACCCGGCTGATGGCGAGATTGAAGACTCGCGGAAGCTGGAGGAGCTACGCGGGGGACCGGCCATGGCGGGGACGACAGCGGCCGTGGTTGTGGCGGCGGCGCCAGAGGCGGATGCCAGCGACGTGAACGCCAAGACCTGTACGGAGAGGACGCATGGGGCCGCCGTCGCATCCGCCCCCGCTACCTCCGGCGGCGGCCCGTGAACAGCCCTCCAAGTGCGACTATCGGCGTCGACGTGGACATCTGCGCCGACGACGCCGCTATACAGGTGATGGACGCCGGCAGTCGCTCCGTCGTCTATGGCCTCGCGCCGCCGCCAGCCTGCCGCAGCTGTTGGTCTGACACCGCCGCCGCCTCCGACAGCATTACTAGCGTCATCGCCGAGTTCAAGTCCTCCTAGGCGGCTGAGGCCACCACCACTACAGGCCCCTGTATTATGCAAGAGTTCACCGGTGTGCTTGCCGTACAGCAGTACATCCTCGTTATGTAGTTCGAGCGCCCGAACTAGCTCCATGACGTCAACGCACTGTACCACAATAGGGCCGCCACCGCCGCCGCCGCAGCCACCGCCGCCGCTGCTGCTGCCGCCGCCGTAAAAGTGCTCCTCAGAAACTGCATCGTCAGCTAACAGATCCAAAGAGCCGCCGCTGCCGCCGCCACCTGGTCTTAAATCCTGGCCCTCCGCGTCAACAGCGGTTGGCGGTTGGCGGTTGGCGGCAGCCCAAGGATCCTCAACTCCCGTCGCCGCCGTCGCCGCCGTCGCCGCCGTAGCAGCAGCAAAGGACGCCGCTACTCGCCCCGACCCATTTCGGTTCCTCAGCCGCCGTACATCGATGACGAGCTGTGATGAGGAGACGTTGGGTGTAATACGGCAAATACGGCAGTACAATTTTAAGCGCAAATCAGAGTTACGGCATTCCAATGAAGCACTCCTGCGGTCCCCTTTGGTGAACGAACCCTACGACCCCAGCCCCGAGTCCCGGGCCTGAGCCCTCACCTCGACGCAACCCCGTCGTACATACACGCCCTCCAGCTGCTGCCCCGCCGCCGTCACCACCGCCGCAATGCGCTCCTGGTAGCCGGCAGCTATCAACTCAGGCTGGACGCCGTGAATCTTGACTCGCGTGGAAGACAACCGCGTTCGGGCAACGTAACGCGGCGGCTGGGATGCCGCGGCCAGCGGCGCTGACGCCGCCGCGCTTTCTGCCGTCGCCGTCGCCGCCGGGGCCGTCGCCGGCAGGGTAGTGGGTAACAATACTCTGCGAAGGAGCTGCTCGACATTACGTGGACCAACCGAAACGCCAGATCCCAATGACCCATCCCCAGCGGCTGCGGCGGCGGCGGCGACAGAGACGGGTACGGTCACGAAGGGCCCACGGGTACGGAGCTGTACTGCACCTCGCACGGGTACCAGCGGCAACACAATGGGGACGCCGCTGTTCCCGTCGCCGTCGCCCCAGGGGCTCGCCGCGCCGCCGGAGGGGGCCTTAGAGGAAGACCTCGGGGGGGGTATGGGCACAGACGTGGACATGCCACCGCCGCCGCCGCCGCCGCCGCCGCCGCCGAAGATCCCCACGATACTCCTGGCGACCTGCAGTACTGTTCTCGGCACGCCAAACCGGATGCCAAAACGACTGCCATACCTGCCGACGGCAGCCGCCGCACTCCGCGTAGCTGTGGCGGCGGCTTTAGTCGACGACGCTATCAGATCGGCGTCATTGACTGCAGCAGCCATAGACGCAATAGCGCCGCCATCAGGTGCTGCTCGCTGCTTCTCCCACCCCTGACGATGATCCTGGTTGTCACGTAGATGCTTTTCCTGGTCGTGCGTTTTCCGCTGCAGCGGCGGCGACGGCCGCCCTGGTGACGGAGCTCGTTCTTGCTGCCGTTTCTCCGTATCCATCGTCGCGTACGTCAGTGCCAGCGGCGGCGGCGGCGGTGGCGACGACGAAAGGCGTCTGCTGTGGATGTTGACGCCAAGCTCCTCTCTTGACACCGCCGCCGCCGCCGCCAACTCTTCGCACGATTCCGAGCACCCCTTCCGCCCGCCGCCCCGCGCACCCGCCGCAGCTGCCACCGCTGCGTCGCGGCAGCCGCGGTCACCGCTGAGGGCGATTGAAGCCAAAACCTCGCGGCGACGGCAGCGCCAACGCCACACCTCCAATGCCAATAGTACGGCATTGCTGGCGGCCTCCCGGATCAAGATCCAAGGCAACCTACCCGCCAGGGACGGGTCCGAGCATGTGGAGCACAGGACTAGAAGACACAGCAGTGAAGCCACCGCGTAGATAACCTCCATGGGCCCGGGCTGGGTGAGGGGATGGGGCGGGTGGGGGGGGAGAGGGTAATTATTTGCATTACCAAGAAAAACAACTGCCGACGTCTAAAGTCGCGAACTGCTGCTGTGGTGAGGGGTGCGGGGAGCGAACCTGAGATTGAAGTGCCACGAGGGGCAGGGTTAGAGGCAGGGATGGGGAAGGAAGGGCATGAAAGGGAGGCAGCCAGCAGGACACATCAAGGGCGGTGTGGAGGATGTGCAAAAGGAGGAGGGGACGGGGGGGGGAAGAGGGGGAGGAGGTAGGTAGGTTAGATAGCAGGCCGGGGGGAAGAGGTGATGGAGCGTGGAACGCTAGGAGGACAGCAACAACAAGCCACATGTGGCATATCACGTTCCTTACCGGAAACACCAAGTTGCTGATGAGGTTCCATGCGAACAAGCGCTCCAAATACCAGACAGCAGAGGGGGAGGCCTCACGATGGGGGCTCAGGAGGGATTGCCGGGTCAAATAAAGCACACCCACCATGCGCTGAGATATGCATAACAGGGTGTAGAGCTGCGTGTCGCGAAACTTGAACAGAAACGACAGGCAGGCCCAAGCCAGCCGGATGTTGAGGAAAGTGAACCCCCACGTAATCCATACTGCGCTTCCTTTGAGGTTATACATGGCTGTATAGGATAGGTGCGGCCGCGACATGATAAACGCGGCGCGCTGGAAGATAGAGCCGTCGACAGGGAAAGCTTCTCGGAAGTCATGAGGCACAGCATCGTTATCTAAACGGATAATTATGTTCAGCACCAGGGTGCACAGGTGAACTGTCGCTACGTGGCTTAGAAGGGAAGCCCACCGTGAGGACACCGCAGAGGACAGCGCAGACATCCCCAAAACTACCTTCCGATGAATCAACCGAGCCACGTAGGGCTCAATCAGGACTGAACCAGATGCACCAAATCGGTTCCTCTTACATGTGGATTAGAATGCAACTAAGTGGCAGTAAGCTCTCCTGTGTCGATATGCAAAGCCATTCGTTCGGTTCCTCGCGGGTGGTTTGCCTCAAGCTATCATCCCCCGAGCTGAAACATGTACTTACAAAATGCATGCATTCATGTGCGAAGTGTACACGATGCACTATGGACCCTTGCCAAGTCTGCGAGCGCTTATAAGGCCCTCGCAAATCAGCAGGCAGATTGGTCTTCACCGTGTTCAACTTTCTCTCCCCTGCCCTGAACGGCTGTATGTGTTGCGCCTGGTGCCTGATGCCACGCTTGAACATGCGGCTCCAATGTCTTACCCCTCCTCGCCCCTGTCCCTCCTGGATAAAGTAATTAAATCGGCTTGTGCTTTCCCGATTGTTCCACTCAGCCTATCAGTAATAGGCCCGTGCAAACTGATTTTAGCTTCATGAGACAGGATTTATTGAGTAGCTGGTTGCTTGCGCTGCCGGGTGGCCAGGAGCTGTGGTGGCTCAAGACAAGGGCATACAGAACAGGGGGCAGAGGCAGAACCAGAACCACCCAGCAGCCCTGCTACAGAAATGGATAGCGGAGGCCCTAAAATGGGCGCAGCGATGGGAATCTGCTTGAACGCGGAACGGTATGGCATTGCACGGAAGCGCTTGGCACACACCGCACGACAGACAGCTGTACTTGGGGGACAAATCTCTTACGCAATTGCAGTGTAGCTGCTACTACCTGTATACCTACCTGTCTTGCCTACCTGCCTGCCTACGCATCCATCGCATTGAGACTCGGGAGCATGAGAGCAATGTGGTTAGAACTGGAGACGGAAACCCAACACACCTTTTACGACTTGAGTACGATGACCGGACATCAGGGTCACGCCGGCCGGATGCCGGATAAATAATTATACCCGGAAACTTGCTCACACTGCTCGAGCTGGTGTATCTCTAAATCAAAATTCTGATTTGTAGCCCACTGGGCCTGCTCCCTGCGAGATCCGGCTCCGAAACCAAGCGAAATGTCTGGCCCCGAACATTTAAGGCGAGCGGTTGTGCACCAGGGTCCGGGGCCCACCTTAAACAGACATAACCCCTCAGCTATGGCATGGCGAGAAAGTTTACGATTGGTCTCATACCCGCTTTCACGCACGACAACCGCGTCGACGTGGGCAACATGCCACATGCGGAGGGACCACGGCCAGGGCAGGGTAGGCACAGCCCGGCACAGCGCAGACACAGCCCACTGCCATCTCACTCAGCCAGAGCGCCAAGACTTCTATAGAGACGCCCGAAGCACTGCAGCTGCCACACCCTCCCCCAAGCCAGCAAAGCTGCTGTCAATGTCCTCCGGGGAAAAGGCACCGGGGGTGCGCTTCTGACGGCACCCTCTCAACGGGTCCCCGCCGACCGAAACTACTCTCTAGGTGCAAAACAAGCCCTGAGGTACAAGACGAATGTAAGAACCTCTGCAGGAAGATGATGCCGCACAGCGGTCTATACGCCTGCCTTAACGAACCCGGACAGATTTCCATGCCTATTCCTGTACCTGAGAATCCGCTCCCATGACGAGGAGAGATGTACCACCATCGCAAGCCTGATCGGTCCGGACGTGCATGCAACAGCCCAGGCCTATTCCCGGCAAGAGAAGTGCCCCCGCCTCCCTCATTTATCAAAATCTTCGGAGCCAGAGAAGAACCTATAGCACTACCAGAAGATGTGTGTATGTGCGTGTGTGCGCATACATGCACACAAACACCCGTCTGGCGGTGCATGTGTGTATATGTATATGTATATGTGTATATGTGTAAGGACTGGGCCGCGAGTAGTCACGTGTATAAGCACGTGTCTGTGTGTTTGTGTTTGTGTATGGATCACGGATAAGGGTCTAAGGGACAACAGTTCTTTCTCAAGTCAACAGCTCAAGCAGTACACGTTACCTGCATCACCCCGTGGCGCGAGGACAAGTAGAATGCGGGGAGCACGAGAACATGCAAATGCAAATTGCAAGTATAACTATACGTCCATACCTATTCACCTTTTCCCCTGCTACTCCCCGGCGCCCAGCCCCATGTTCGCCATGACATGCCTTGTTGGCACCTGTTACTACCCACCACAGCTGCTAATACTACTGCCCCACGAGTATCCAGCTCATGCGTGTCTGTTTATCAGTTTCCTGAATCCCACCCGACACGAAGCCAGCCGCCCTTTCGGCCTCTTACCTTTCACACCCACGCCCGCTCCTCAGCAAGATGATGCACACCCCAAGCAACAAGAGCACGTCACGCTTTCTTCCACCCTCCCCTTTTCTCCCGCTGCGTTCAGTTCGCGCTCGGGCAACTTCATGGCAAGCCATCGTGTCTGTCTGTCTGTCTATCCATCTGTTTGTGCACCCTAAAAAAGGCTACTCGGTCAGCCGGGGCATTCAGCTCAGGCCGGGGGCCCTTCCCGGGGACATCTACCGCCATCCAGACAAGTCAGATGGCCCATCGTAATGCGCTGCAATGCCAGCCGCAGGGCACGCAGCATGCGGAGGCTCTCCACGTTGCGAGCGTAGGCCGCCAATTGGTGATACAGATTGGCAAGCATGGGCGGCAGGCCGGCGCAGCGCGCCGCCAAGGCGGCGGCGGCGGCGGCGGCTGTCGCCGCGGCCGCTGGGCAAGAGGTGGAGCTGGAGGATGCGGAGGCGGTTGTGGCGGAGATGCACTCTGAAGCGGATGGGCCAGATCCGGAACCCAATTCGGATTCGCTTGGCGGCGGCGCGGCGTCCTCCGATTCGGAGTCTTGTTCGTATTCTTCCAGCGGCACCGCCGGCAGCGGCTGCCACACCACGTCGGTCCAGTTGCGAGAGTCGTCGGCGTTGCGCTGTACGATACCCAGTGAGACCTCCGCGAGAAGGGCAAGGATGGAGGCGCCGCTGTCGAGCTCTGCCGTGACCGTCATCGCAGCGGCGGCGGCAGCGCCGGCGGTGATGTGCTGTGGCGGCGGCGGCGGCAACTGCTGTGACACCGCTGTTGGCGGCCTGGCAACCCAAGACGGTGCGGTGGAGCCGCAAGCGGTCATCGTAGCGCAAGCAGCACGAAGGCAACGGACAAGCAGCCGCTCCAAGCTGGGTGCGCTCAGCTCCCCGCCGCGGACTGCGCTGTACAAATGCTGTGCAGCAGCTGCTGCAGTGGCCGCCGCGGAGCCGTTCAACCAGTCAGAATCAGCTGTACCGCTGCCGCTGGTGTCGCCGCCGGCCGGCGACGACGACGACGACGACGGCAGCTGCGTCGGCAGCGACTGCAGCCGCAATGCCACCGCCCGGCCAACGCACTGCGCCGTCAGGTGTACGACTTCTTCCAACGGCGGGTCGGTGGGACGACGAGCCAGCTCTATGATTACATCACTCAGCCGGCGACCAGCCTCAGCGGCCGCCTTATCCACGTCCTCACAAGTCCCATGGCATTCCTCGGAACCGAGATCCGTACTACGGCCACTGTGGGGGAGAGTTGCGGCCACCACCACCGCCGCCGCCGGCCCCGTCGAAAGACACAGCTGCGGCGCGCCCGAGGAGCCGATGGCTGCAGCCCTGGCGGCGCTGCCAGGCGACGGCGCCGCCGCCGTCGCCGTAGTACCGATACCTACAGAAGCGTCATCCCGCGCCGTCGTCAACCTGGCCATCGGGACGGCCTGTAGTATCGGGGTAGCTACAGTCGCCCGTGCTGCGCAACACCCCGTCCTGCCATCAAGCACATCCAGCGCTTCCTTGACCGGGGCCGTACACTGTGCACCGGAACCCAACGCGCCGTCCGTCGTGTCACCGGCGGCGGCGGCGCCCCTTTTTCCGCCTCCGCCAGCAACTTCTTCGTCTTTTTCACCAACATTCAATCCCGCTGAGACCGTCGGTGCTGTTGGCAGCATCGGCGGCGTCGGCAGTACTCTCGCCTCCATCGCCTGGCGCTCCAGATCTCGCACTATCTCCCGTACCATGTGCCTCACCTGCTCGTCCATGTGGCTACGTACGGCAGTCGGCACGTGTGCGACGAGGCGCTGCAGGCAGGCCACCTCCGCTGACTGGGCTGCCAGCACCGCGGCTGCGGCAACGGCCTCCCCTGGTACGGTACCCGGCAGCAACGCCTAGCAAACAAACATTAATAATGCGATGATGATCAGGGGCGCGGGCGCGAGAGGGCCGCGAGGGCGGGGAGCCAGGTTGGGGTATACGGCAAAGAGTCAAGCGTTGCAAACCCAAAACACACGACAACAAAGCACGAGGGTGTGGGCAATAAGTTCAAAGAAGGGAATGCGGGCAGGCGACGGAGATGCACGTTGAAGGTGGGGTGCAGCAGACGGGACGAGGGGCATATTCCTCCAGTCTTTAGCGGCCATGCACGCAACCATACAATGCTTTACGACCCCCTGCGCCATTGCCGTGCCGCCCAAGGCGACCGTACCGCCCATGCGCTTATACCGCATACCATACCTGCAGCGACCGCAACGCATTTTCCCGAAGCTGGCGCCGTACAGCTGGCAGCGCGGCTTCCAAGCTGCCAGCGATGGCGGCAGAGGTGGCCGCGTCTGCCAGTTTCGCCGCCGCTGCCACGGCCTCATGAATCGGCAGTAGCAGCGGCAGCGCCGCCGCCGCCGCCGCTGCTACTGCCGTCAACCCTTCGTCCGCCGCTTCAACGCTGCTCGCTGCGTCCTTGGACCGCTGCGGGGTCACCACGACAAGACCAAGATTTATGACAGGAACGGCAATTCATGGCAGACAAGCAGGGGACTGGGGGAGCTACCTCCACCGAAGGTTGTCGTTCGGGCACCTCATCATGAAAGCACCCTCTCCTCCCGTACCTTTTGGTCGTCAGCTGCCGTGGCCCTAGCCGACGCTGCTGCTGCAGCCGCGTCCTCCTGCGGCACATTACCGCATGCGGCATGAGGTGCAGCAGGATAAGTGCGGGATGGCATGTGCCGTCTTGCCGGCTGAGACAGGGGCATGAATGGACGGATACGCGTGGAAGGGGCCATACACAGCCATACACGTACATGCACACATGCATTCATGGCCGCACCTGCCACCGTCGTACTCGTTCCTGCAGTACCGGCCGTACCGCATCCGCCAGTCGTGTCAGATGCTCTGAAGCCACTTGCGGAACGATCAACTCCAGCGCCGCTGCCGCGCCGTTGACTGCCAGGACCCCTGTCACGTACGATACCACGTCACGCATGGGTACGGCATGTTCTCCCGTACTGTACTGCCCCAGCAGCGCCTGGGCCAGGGCTTGCTGCAGCGGGCTGGGCCCTGGAGCGCTCAGCACCTGCACATGCAGGGTTACGGTGTGGGTCACAAGTGACAAGAAGCAAAGTTCCATCACCTGCCGACCCCCACCACACCACCTCCTCCTACCACCGGGGCCCCTGGGTGCGCATTCCTCCCTGACCCTCCCTCCATGCAAGACGTACGCTATTGGCAAGGTAAGAAGCACAGGGGCACAGGGCATCTGGGAGGCGGCGGCGTTCCCCGGGGTGAAAGAGGAGGTGAAAAGAATGGCTCACTCACCGCTCCGTTGACCCAATAGATAGTGGATTGGAGCCGCAGTGAGGACGTTTAAAAAAAACGAATGTGTAATTCATAGGATAGAAATGGTCCCTGATCTGCTGATGGATGGCAAGGTACAGGAAAGGAGGTGTAGGAGGTTTTGGGGGGGGCCCCCGGTGTGAAGCGCGTTCGGGGGCGTTCAGGGACATGTCCCCACCCGCCCACCGCCCTCCCAGATCCAGTCCTTCGGAGGTCAGAAGTTGTAAACAGAACAGCATCCAACCCAACACAACCCTAACAGGCCACGGAAATGATCCGAGATCCCAACCTCACCGCCGCGACACTCTCTGGGATGGCTACCGCCGCCGCTGCGGCAGCGGCGCCGCCGCCGCCACCGCCCGCCGCCGCCCCAAGCCTCACAAGCGCGGCGGGCGGTACCCGCCTCGGCATTAATGGCCGAGACTCTGCACCGGCGGCGCTGGGAGAACCTGCCGCCGCTGCCGCCGCCGCCGCGGCCGCCGCTCCGCCGTCGCCACCAGCGGACGGGTGGTGCTGTAGCAGCTTTGCGGCAGCTGCAGCAGCCCGCTGCAAAACCCTTGATGCCGCCTCAATGGCTGCGCCGGTGACGTGATGGTGGGCTCAGGAAAGTGAATGAGGCCTGGCTTCATCACACAGACATTGGAACCCCCCTAGTGGCGAGCAGCTCCTGGGCAGCAGAGCAGCGCCAAGTGCCCTCCTCAGCCAAGGCCCCCGCACAAGGGCTCCCAAGGAATCGCGCTGCTTATCCCTTTCTTGCAGTGCCTCGAATACGACCACCCAACATCCAGCCCTTATAATACTCAAGCCCCCTTTAAAGCATTAAATCCCTAAGCACACACGCTCCCGTCCCGGCCCCCAGTACCGCCCTTCTCCACATGCGGCGCCAGCGATCACCCGGGCCCCTCCCGCCCGCCCGCCTCTCCACCCCGCACTTGAAGCCTAACCGCCGACCCACCTGGACAACACAGCTCCAGTAACCGGGAGTCCACCAGACCGTCATTCTCCTGCGGCAGGTGCGGAGGAAAGGAGGGTAGGAGAGGAGCAGTATTAACGAAACTGTTAGCAGCTATTTGCATAGAAAACCAAGATTTTTCCGTGGGTTGATCACACCCAGGCGTGGTCGTTCATCTTTCTCTCCCGATTTAGGGATTCCAACCAGCGGTATTCCAACCGATAGCGCGACATCATTCAGGAATAAAACAAGCCACCGCCAAATGTAATAAAAAGTGTTTTGTGTGAACGTTTTTTGTTATTGGAGCCCAGGAGCGCGGTGCCCCGGGAACGGACTAGGTAATGAGACAGGGCCCGTATCAAGGAGGTCGTAATGGTTCGTGATTCCCATTAGCGGCAGGGCTAGCGGCCGGGGCGAGAGAGCGGGCACCGGTGCAGGGTAGAATCCTTGAGCAGCAGGAGAGAAACAAGCGAAAAGCGAGGCCAATACCAAAGGCGTTCACGAAGCTGTGAGGATAAGAAAAATAGCGGTCAGCAGCGTAGTAGAAAAGCATACAGCAGACCCGAATATGTGCATGCGAGCACCTGTGTGATGGTGTGGGGCTGGAGAATGATGAAAAGCGGTACCCCCCCATCACCTCCAACCCAACGGAGGTACCTCGCGGTGCTTACCTGGAGGCTGCGCGCCAGCCGTGCGTCCCACTCAGCTCCGTCCTTGTCGTTTCGACTCCCAGTGCCGGTTTCGGAGCCCCTAGGCGACCGCTGCGACGAGCAACAGACTTCGTCGTCGTAGGGTAGGGCTGCAGAGGCCCTGCCGTCGGCCGCCGCTGCTTCCGCCGCCGCCGCCACGGCCGCGGCCACATGAGACAAGGCCTCCTCAGCAGCGCTGCGGAGGCAGAGCGCCGCCGCGCAGAAGCCAGGCTGCTGGGGCTGCAAGGCCCGACACGCAATCAACCGCCGCAGCCGCGCTGAAATGGCGTGTAAATAAGGCAGCTGTAAGGCAGCGGCGTCTGCCACGCCAGTGCCGGCGGCGTCGCCACCGTCAGCCGCCGTCGCCTGCTGCGGTGGCTGGCCGCCGTCGAGAGCAGTCCCCGCAGCAATGCGTGCGCCATTCGTGATGATGTACAGGTACTGCGCAACGCACGGTACAACATGTACGAGCACCCCGCGCTCCTCAGCGACTTGCAGCAGTTGTAGCACATCCAGCGGTGGATGACGTGGTGTCTGCAGCGACGGCGGCGAGAACGAGTGCAGCATCTGGCCGCAACCTGCCATGTCCCCGCCGCTGCCACCGCCGCTGTTCCCTCTTCGCGCTGCGACCAGCGCAGGCCGCGGCAACGCGACGCCGTACCGTACGGCACCGTGTACAACGCTGAGGTAGGCTAGGTATGATGCCAAGGTTCCCGAAGCGACTACGTGATCGCCGAGGGGCCCAACCGTCGCGGCTGATGAGGGCTCTATGGCGCCGCAGCCGCCGCCACCGTTCACCTGGGCCTGCATTGCGGCCGCTGCTGTCGAGACGCCAAGCGCCTTCAGCAGCATGGCCTGCGTGTGCATGAAAGGAAGGCGCCAGAAGGCGTGGCATCACGAACATCTGACCCATGGGTCACATGGTTTTGTCACATTGTCGCTTTGTGGAGGGTATCTAAGCAGGAAGCAAATAATGAGCTGCCCACGTCCAAAGCCTGCAGGGGCCTGCGGTGAGATCTCTCACACGATACGGACAGCAGCCGCAGGAACCCCACCCCTGCGCCTTTGCACCCGCATTTACTGAGCCATACGGAGCTCACACTCTCTCATATCCCCAAACCCTAACATAGCTAGCATACTTTCCACCGTCAGCAACACCAGCAAGTCCCGGATCCGATTGGCCGCTCACTGGTTGAATTTGTTTTGCTCAGTTTTTTGCGCCACGGGGAAAAACGGACTGAAAGGAGTTGCATGAGCATTAAGGCGAGCGTACAAAATTTGAGTGTTTGACTCGGATGTCGCTCGGCAGCCTGAACTTTGAATCGGTCCTTCAACGCGCACAAAAGCACCTGTAGGACTCCTGCCATGTGACGCGATACTGCTGATATCAGCGACTGGTTATCCGCAGCCTCAAGGAAAAAGATGTACGGCCGCTGCGGCGGCGGGAAGTACGACAGCCGTTGCAACATCGCTGCACAGCGTGCCATTACGGCGAAAGCGTCGCGCGGTTGCGATTGCGGCTGCGGCCCGCCGCCACCACCGCCGCCGCCCTCAGGTCCGCCATACGCGCCCCCGCTGAGCCCAGCGGCGCCGACGCTTCCCGCCGTTAATGCGCCGTAGCCCCCTGACCCGCTGCCGTACGCGCTTGCGCCTGCAGGAAGGCCGCTACCTCCGGCTGCACCGCTGCCGCCGCCGCGATGGCTGAACCCTCCGCCGCCGCCGCCATAGCTGCTGGTGCTGCTGTGCGGCCCTGGAGTACCGCCACCACCACCACCATGCACGCGGCCACCGCCGCCGCCCGCCCCGAAACCACTACTGTCGGTGTAACCGTTTGGCGTCCGCGCCCCACGAGCCCCCGAGTGGTAGGGTGTTGACTGCTGCGGCAGGACTTGTCCCGGCGCCTAAAGCCAGCAGTCCAGAAGCCGTGGTGAGGTGAATGCGAACATTGAGAAAGCACATGCAGGGATGCAAAAACGCAGAGGTGAGACAGCGTAAGGTCATGTAAAGGCCAAAAGAGCTTGCTGAGAAACACCGTACCCAGAATATGACCGGCCTCAGAGCGCCACAATGGAGAAGCGAGAAGCAACAGTATATATATGCACACACAGACAAAATATCAATGCAACGCATGCACACAAAGACACCAGCCATTACCCAGGACATCATTCTACACCTGCTGCATCCTCTGATTCAGGCGCTGGAACTTGGATGGGTTGCGGGAAGCCAAGTTAGCCAGGTCGCCCTCCACCAAGCTCTCACCAGTTGCAACCGCCTGCGAGGATGTAACAGTTGTCGGTTGGTTGTTTTCATCAGTTTGGTCCACGCCCAACGGTATGTACAACCAACATCAACTGCTGCAGCGCGCAGCCTGGGGGGCTGGCTCCGTGAGCTTCAGCAATCCAGAAGCTTTACTTGAAGTCTTCCTTCGTCCTTCCGTACACAGTCCGTTGTACGACGTACGGATTTTTCGTCATGGTCTCTTACCTCGCCACCCTCGTGCGCCAGCACACACCCGCGCGACACATTGCAGCACGTGCTTCTCGCGGCTGTGTGCCGTTAGAAAAAGACTCACTGCAGTGGCGAGAGGGAAAGATGTTCGGTGTGTCCCACAGTCAACACATTACTCACTTGCAACACACACCCCGTGAACAACTCCGCGAAGAAAGGCAGGTTGTCCGGGTGCAGCGACTGCAATACATCCAGACACTGCGACCGCAGCGGCACCAACCACTCAGCTGCAGAGCCAGCAACAGCGGCGGCGGCGGCTGCCCCCAAGGCTGTCGCCGCCAGCGGCGTCGCTGGGCCCGGCGGCGGCGTCGCCTGTCGGTGGTGCTCACCCAAGGAGCCCCGACCTCCGCCTCCTCCGGCAGCTGCCGCCGTTGGTGTACCGGGTGCATGCGCGTAGGGTTGCTCCGGTAGGCCGCCGGTGTCGCCTCCGCGGCTGATGAGAGCCGCGGCCTGGCCGGAGTGCGAAGCGATGAAAGCAAAGGAGGAATCACGGAGGGGAGGATTCATGAGAGCAAAGCAAAGATGAATCTCTTTGCTAATTTGCTTAAAAAAAACAAAGATAGGCAATTGCTGCGGGGACGGAGGAAACAGATTCAAAAGTCAACGGCGGGGCCCGGTGCCAAGGCGGCCCCCGCTAGGGAGCGGAGGGATTTAGGCCACATGTCAAGGAAGGAATGATGCACCCACACCATGGGGTTAGGAGAGAGGGGATTGCTCTGGATCGTAGGAGTGGGAGGATACCAATGAGCGAGTGGAGGATGGGAACAAAGAAGGTAAAGGTGAAGGCTGCCATCGCCACAACGCGCGCCCATCGGGGAGCTCCTACTCCAAACAATTGATAAGCGACGCGCTTCGCGCCACTCCGCCCTCCCCTTCCCTCTCGAGCCCACCTGCCGTACCACCGCAAAGAACATGTCCCTGCAGCGCTCCCTGTTGCTGACTCGGCGCTGCTGCTCCTGGCTCCGCGACTTCCCAGAGGCCATGTCATTACCCGACTGCAACATAGGGCCCACCAGCAGAAGCCGCTGTCCTGCAAACCAAACGAACCAAACCAGGCCAACGGAAAGGACAGGGTCGCGGCCAGGACCGGGACCAGGACCAAGCGCGGGGTGTTGATTAGCACAACGGTGTCATGGTGAAGTGAGTGGGCTCCTCGCTTCCCTGCGCTTCTCCCTGTGCTTCTCCCGCAGGCAGAGCGAAAGCACAACCACCCTCGCCACCGCCCAAACGTCGCATGCAGCACCTTACCTCCCAGCGCATCCACTGCTCGACTACGCGCGAAGCTGCGCTCCCGGCGCTGCGCCGCCGCATCGGCTGCCGCTGCCAGCGCCGGCGCCGCCAGCCTGGCGGCCGCGCAATTCGCAACCGCCGCCAGCAGCCTGTGACCCAGCCCGGATAGCAGGCCGCCGCAGCGGGACAGCACTGCGCAGCTGTACTGCAAGGCGACATGTAACGGCCAGTTGAGCTCCGTGCGGCCGTCAGCGGACCGTGCACCTGCCGCGGATGTACCCACCGCCGCGGCGGTGGCAGCGGAAGCCTTGGCGGCGGCTCCACCGTCGGTATCCGCAGCCAAGAGAACCTCAGGCGGACAGGCGAGCAAGTACAGCAGCTCCGAAACCTCATCCTGTACACAGACCAGGGCATCCAAATCCGTTCCAAGGCCCAATATTTACTGTAATGAGAAACGCCTGTTGCACACGCTTCAAGATGTGCCCTGATCTCGCGCATGCCTTGCCTGTCTGTTTGTATGTTTGCCGGCAAATCTGTTCGCTTGTCTCCTATAATACCTGCCTGACTAGTGCCAGCATGGATATCTTCTGTATGGCTTGGTTTTCGAGTGAAAACTGACTTTCATTTTGGTTCGGAACTGAGAGCAGCACATTTCAGCGCCGCACTCATACACGCTATGTCCGAGCCACCGGCCGGTATTCCGCACCATTCTAGCTTATATTCTCGTTCCTTTCCTTTCCTTCCCTCTAGCGACCTGCTTCCTGCCATTGCTGTCGCAGCCGTCGCACCTTTGCTCGCTTTTCCTGTCACACGCCCACCCTTCCCTCCTGGACCTCGACAATTGTTTCTTTTGCCGATGCCCCCCCTCCTGCTAAGCCCACCCATAAGCCATACGTCCCTTCCTTACTTGCAAACAGGCAACCGAACCAGAGCACAGCACCCAGGCATGCAGCCGGGCCAGGCGTTCGTGCGCGGGTCCCCACACGGGCCCCAGACCAGCAGGTGGCCCAGGCGCCGCCGTTACCAAACCAGAACCGGCTTGCGGCTCCGTTTTACCACCAGCATGCCCGCCCACGCGATTAGCAGCAGCCGTCGTGGTTTCGGAGCCACCAGCCGGGCTCTGCTCCACGTAGGTTAAGGCAACCGGGGCACCGGGGGCCGGACGGGCCGGCCCCGTCGGCGGCCGGCCCTCCGGGTACGACGTGACCGACGGAGGACTGCAGTACCGAGCACGATAGAAGTCCACGGCCGCGCTGCCGTGCTGGCTCAGCGAGCCGTCGCTCACCGCAGGTACAATTTGCGCGGCAGGGGTGATGGGGTCGTGGTGGTGCCGCTGCTGCTGATGGTTGGCAGTTGGTTGAAGAGAGGAGCAGGGCGGCGGCGTCACCGCGGCGTCGGACATGGGTGCGAGGCTGGAGCAAGATACAATGGCGCTGCAAGGCGTAACGGGATCTGGGTCAACTGACGCTTCCACCAGTGGGCCGCCGGCTGCGGCGGCAGACCCTCCCTTGGCAGTAGCAGCTGCTGGTGCTGTGGCAGCGGCCCCCACCAGCTGCTGCTGCTTATGGCGTTGTTGGCTGGTATGGCGTTGCTGCTGTTGCTGCTGCTGCTTCGACGTGTGGACCGGTGGCACACCCCATGGGTTCGCTGCGGCGGCGGCAGCACCAGCGCTGACCTGGGGGCTAACGCCCTCAGTGGCTACCGGCGGACCCAGGGTCAGGCCATTGCCTGGGGACTGCCAGGCGACCGGCCCGGATGCCGCCTGCTGCTGGATTGGCATTGGAACAATACGTTTGACGCAGCTCTGCGCCTGTCCGTGTGCGTGCGCATGGGGCTGCTGGGCGGCCGGTGATGCCTGGTGCGTTGGAGGGCCACTGGTTGGCCTGGGCGGCTGGTGATGGTGCCCATTGGGCATTGCGTTGGGTGGATGTCCGGTGACACCAGAAGAAGGACCACTCCGGCCACTCGCAGCGACGGAACCCATGTTTCCCCCACCGCCGCCGCTCAATGAGACCGTTCCGTTTTGGGCTGCCCCCTGCTGTCCTACACGTCCATGGCCTGACTCAGCGGGCGTGTTGTGGTGCCGAGGGCCGCCGTTGCGGCCGCCTCGCCCACCGCCGCCTGCATGCGCGCTGCCAGTGCTACCCACGGATGCTGACGGACTGCCCGCCGCCCAAGAGCCGCCGGCAGGCGACGGCACGGGCGGCGTACGGCCCCGCATCCGCTCATCAAGCGCGGCTTGCTTTTTATGACTCATGGCGGCTAAGGGACCCTGTGCCCATGCTCCCTGAAGTCTCCCAGCCCCGCCGCCGCTGGGTGTCGGCGCCGCGGTTGAGGGCCCGGAGAGGGTTCCAGGGGATGGTGCTGCCATGGCGGCGGCACCTGAGGACGCGGGGGCTGCGGCTGCAGATGCCGTGACAGAGGTAGCCCAAGATGTGGTCGGGGTGGCAGCGGTGGGTGTGGAGACCGGCGGACGAGATGCGGCAGGCAGGGCGGGGAAGGCTGAGGGGCTTGGTGGGGCTCCGACAGTGGACCCAGGTGCCGGTTGTGTGGACTGTGGATCAAGGAATAAAGCAGAGAGCGGTGAGGTAAAGCCAAAGGGCATGTGAATGGCTGGATTAAAGGCAGGTGCTGGATAATGCGGTGCTGGATGAGGCCGAGGAAAGGCAGACCGTACAGGTTTCAGGCAGGGAGGTCCTGGAGGTCAGGAGCACTGTAGAGGTGGTACATGTTGACAAGGTCTACAAGCAAATTGTTATGCGTGGGGATCGCTGAGTAGCATCAAATCCCAGGTATGCAGGTTTTAACCGTAGAGATGCCAGTCAGAATGTGTGCGGGAGATGTAGTGATGGGCGCGGTGTACGATGGGCGTGCTGGGTAAACGATGGCAGAGGTGTGGGTGCCGGAGGATACCCTAAGTGTGAGCCGGGGCGAGCGATTGAACCTCCCTCCCACCAACACACACATATGCCTCAGGCAGGAGTCCAAAGCCTTCGAAAGGACGCTTCGAGTAGACGAGAAAATTGGAAAACTAAGCCCAAACTTATTAACAGGGACCAAGCCTAACCGCAATTCACCTGCTTGGCGGTCTGCGCAGCGGGTGGGCGTGTCCAACCATCGTGCTTGCTAAGCCTGATACTCCGGCTGTGGTCTAGGTAACCCTGTTTCGCAAGCTGAAGCACTGCAGCCCTCAGCTCCGTAACCGTCGGCGCCAACCAGCGATCCTCTGCTTGCAGCGACCGGCTATGCAGGTAGGCCTCCAAACGAGATCCTGTATCGTCAGCAACTATCTCCTGAAGATCATCGTTGGCAAGTCGCTGGTCAAGTAAGAGCAACTGTAACACCTGCGTTGCCGCCATTTTGAATTTGCCCACCGCTCTACAAAGCGGGGGTTAATAATTTTGTCAGCGAGACGAGTTTACCATCTTTTAAGTTAAATATTTAAGTAGTCCACGATCAATCACAAAGCGCCTATGGAGAACCGTTCAACATAACGGATGCCGTACAATGCTGTGATACCCGTAACTATTTGCTGTAACAAAACTCGCTTAGTGCACATGTTGCTCTCCATAATTAAATAAAGAGGGAGTCTGAATACTAGCAATTTTGGGCCGGCTTTGTGGAAGCAAATAAGAGCTTTCCTTTCCAACGATTAAGGTTTACTTGCGGCAAGAAGGGACGGAAAGAGATGTAACTCAGACACCGGTCATCTATCTGCGGTGGAAAAGGGTTATTCTTCGTAATTGCGGCCATGCTCATCCCCAGCCAAACGCAAGCTAGAGCGAGGACAGGGCCTCGAAGAGAGGAGGGCATCCCACCTCTTCCCTTGTTTTATCCCCAAGCAGCTCCATCATTTCTGCATGCACGTGGCCGTCGGGCCCTGTTAACGAGCGTCGCGGCGCAGCGGCGTCCAATTAACCGCAATCTCCTCGACAACGTGGATAACACCGTGCCGGACGGTTACCCTAGTTATGTATCCCCTATGTACATGCCGAGCGGGGACGAGCAGCAAAGCTCCTCATCAGGCGGTTGGTCAACCTCCGCACAGCAACCTCGAGAGCCGGCCCCGCCCTTTATGTCCGATGCCGGCAGCACGCCGAATGACTGGCCCCATGATCAACAAAATCTGCGGACCTCTCCATCCCCACGGCAGCAGCCGGCGGACACGTCCCATTCCCGTGCCATGGATCCCCCCACATACGACCCCAACGAGTACGCATACGGCGCAGCTCCCCTGCCAGCGGACCGGAGCCTCACAGAACTGCCCAATTGGCCTACCTCCTCCTCTAATCCTCCATCTTCTCCTGTTGCGACCGCCACCACAGCTTCACAACCAGCTGCAGCTGAGGAACCCCCCCCAGCGCTGCACACAGCACAAGGCACACAGCCAAGCCAGCAAGCCGCACAACAGCCGTCGCCGTCGCCGCCGCCGCCGCCACTTCGGCAGCCTTCCCCCCGCACCACCATCGGTGCTGCTGACTGGGGCGAAGTGGACCCTCTGACCGACTGGGGTGGCGTCGCGTACGGCGAGGTTAGCGGGTGGGACGAACCATACGGCGTGAACGGCTACGGGCCGTCACAGTTTCCGTCTTCTCACACGCGTACGAGTGGCCTCAGCGGCGGCGGCGTAGCAGCAGCAGCAGCAGCAGCCGGGCCAAGCAGCAGCGGCGAAGGCACAACGTACGGGGCCTGGGACAGCGGCGGCGGCGGCGCCGCGGCCAGATTTGGCGAGACCTCCAGGGCCTGGTCGCGTGAGGAGTCGGGCTGGCCGGAAGGGGGAGCCCCCACTTGGGCTCCCCCAAGGGAGGGCTGGGCAGCGGGGCAGCGGTTTACGCCGGACAGCCGGTACAACTCCGGACCTGGGCCGGCGAGGGGCAGTGGTGGCGCGGCCAACGCAGCCGGAAGCAGCGCCGGAACACAACCATCATCATCGTCGTCGTCGTCGCAGGCGCCGCCGGCAGATGCGCTCCGACCTTCGGACATCATTTTGTTGCCTGGCAGGGATGCGGTGAGTGATGGAGGTGGGGAGGGGAGGTGGAGGTGGGAGGTGGAGGTGGGAGGTAGAGGTGGGAGGTGGGGAGGGGAGGTGGGAGATGGGGAGGGAAGGTGGGGGTGGGAGGTGGAGGTGGGAGGTGGAGGTGGGAGATGGATATGGGAGATGGATATGGGAGATGGATATGGGAGGTGGGAGATGGAGGTGGGAGATGGAGGTGGGAGGTGGTGGTGGTGATGGGAGGTGGAGGTGGGAGGTGGTGGTATACATATACCGGCATGAGGCCCTCTGGGTTGCGGGGTGGAATGGGTGGAAGTCAATGTGCAGTGGATGTCAATAGGGGACGACTGCCGACGAGGGGAGGGGGCACCCGGAGGAGGGTTTCAGGCTCCCGGCGGCGGCGCGATACAGAGGGGTTCTCTGAGGGTGTGGAATTAGAGGAAACAGCAGCAGGGGCTTCCGAATACGACTGTCTGAACATGCTGCTTGTCGCTTTGGGTTCTTCTACGGCACGATTGTTGTGGGCGAGGTTACCGAGGTGTTTGGTGAGGGGGGACATGGGGGCAGAGGGAGGTGTGGGGTGGAGGGGGAGAGCAAGAGAGACGTGCGTGCGATGCGTGCATCTATCGGTTCGCTCAGTGTGGTCCGTGGCCGGGGTGGAGCCGGGGGTGGGGGTGGGGGTGAGGATTGTACTGCTGCGATTGTAGTGTTGCCCGGTAGAACCTTGGCTCCCTGGTCCCCATCATCCTGCCTGTATGTATGTATGTATGTCCTGACCAACGCATTGACCTACCCCTCCTCCTTCCCCTCCTCTTTCACCTACCCCCGTTCCTATCGAACAGTCCTCCATCCTGCCCCTTGCGCCCATGCCACCGCAAGTGGACTTCTTCCAGCCACGTACGCTGCAAGAGTGAGTGGGTGGGTGGCGGCCGGGCTAGGGGGACCAGCGGCGGCGGCTGGGGAGGGGGCGGCACGAGATCATTAGGAAAACACGAGCCACACGGGAGAGCACCACTCACCCGCTCCGCTCTCCATAACCCAGTGTCTATACGACGTGAAGCTTCACACGTGGACTTTACGTCCGTCGTGGGAAAGCCGCTTCCGGCGCCACACCCCAGCCGGGGCACTTAATGAGACGATCCCATCGTTGCTTTCATCCGGACTCTTTCTCGTTGCTTTTTAACTCCTCCCAACTGACAACTGACCTTCCCCGCAGGCGTATCGTACAGTTTGTGGGCTCCATCGGCACCTCCGTGATCTTGTCCAAGGCCGCTGTCCTGGCGGGCCCCGCGCTGCTGTACCCGATTTGGAGCCCCTGGATCCGGGCAGGGCTCCGAAACCTGGACCTCTACTCCAAGAACTTCGCTTGTGTGGGGCTGTGGAGGGCAGAGGTAGGGGGGGGCCGTAAGGGGGGGGCCCTTAGTGGGGAGGGAGGGACGGGAGGGAACGCAGTGCGAGGTTTCAAGAATGAGGGAGGGGAGGTGTTGTTTCCCTTATCGATCTCCGTCCTCACCTGTCCCGCTGTCCTCCTGTCCCGCTGTCCGCTGTCCTGCTGCCTGTCCTCTTTTCCCGGCCCGACCGACCGTGCGGCTGCATGATGGGCGTGTGTGGGGTACGACGTCCCGGTTTGGATCCTGGTGCCCCTGTACCTCCGCGTGTAGTACATACAATTCATGTTTGTACGGAAGGATACCCACTTCTCCGGCCCACGCACACGCGTCAAATGCGGACGCGCACCCACGCAGGTTCTAGATGTGCAGATCAACGGCCTCGCCATAGGGGGCATGCTGATCAGCAAGCAGCCGCCCGTGGTGGCGATGCTGGTTGGTGACCCATGGGCCGGTGGTGCAAGGGTGGCTCTGGAGCTGCCGTACCAGCTCAGGTGGGTTGGATGTGAAGCAGTATTGGTGGTGGTGGTGGTGGTGGTGGTGTTTTTTGATACTCTGCCTGGAGATTGAGTGGCGTGTGGGGGAGAGTGGGAGGGAGGGGGAACACCTTCTAGGAAGGCGTTGTGAATTATTATTATTATTATTATTATTATTATTATTATTATTATTATTCTTTACGATATCTTTGGATGTAATCGAAGGTGGATGTGGGATAGGGCTACGTTCCCTATGCGTGTCCTTGTGCGTCTCGCGTCTGAGAGTGTTTAAAAGTGTCTAAGAGACACCGCACACAGCGGAATTAATCATGGACTGCTTCTACCTGTTTCTGTCGCCTGTGTGTAACGGTCTGCCGTATGTACGACAGATCCGAAACCATACGTGTGGGCGACTCCGTGGAGCTGCTTGTGCTCAGCCGGGACAACCGCTTCACCTCTTTCAAGGTGGGCCCCCGCGCTGCCTCTCTCTCTCTCTCTCTCTCTCTGTATTTCTGTCGCTCTCACTCGCTCTCTCACTCGCTCTCTCACTCGCTCTCTCACTCACTCACTCATTCACTCACTCACTATTTAACGGCACAGGGCCGCATGACGCGGCTTACAGCGCCGCATATCTCACGTTTCTTAGCGTGGAGTGGCGCTCAAACCCGACAGCGTGGCTTAGCGCTTTTGCCGGAGGATTTTCTTGGCTGGTATTGTGGCTGGATTGTTATGCTGCCGTACATATCTTGGCTTCTGTTGGGAGGGAGGGTTGCGGGGTGCTACTGCGCTCTTCTGTGCTCCCACCTGCCCAGTTTGAAAGGCCCAACGAGTAGGAGGGAAGGGGAGGGCACACATATGCATGCATACATACATACTGCAGCCCCATCCCCGGATGGAGGGGCTGCGGAGTGGCTGCGTAGAGTGTTGGCAGTCTGAGTCGGGGTCGGGAGCACACAAGACTAACCGACTTGTGCTGTGTGCTCCCGACCCTTGCGCTGTGTTTCGGCTTCGGCCCCCGGCTCTCGCGGCCCACAGTGTAATCTAAGTCATACATACATACATACATACATACATACATACATACATACATACATACATACATACATACATACATACATACATACATACATACGTACATACATGCATACATACATACATACATACGCTTCCTGCCATGGCGGAATACTTCCGTCTCCGTCTCTATCTTGGCTTTTCGGGAGCTCCACACTCGCTCTCTCTCTCTCTCTCCCCCTCCTCTGGGCGTGGTGGGAGGGTGCTGAGGAGCACTCACTAAGAATGGGGGGTTGGGCCCGGACGGAGGCTATCCCGCTAGTGACCCACTAGTAGTGCAATGCCCGCGGGGAGGTGTCTTGCCGCCTCTTGCGTTCTCCTGTCCAGGAAGCAACCGCTCCAAACGCTTGCGCGTCATCGCCAACCCTTAATCATCTTAAACCACCACCAACACTACCACCACCACCACCACCACCACCACCAACAACAAC